TGGCAACTTCTTGATGTTTGGAAAAACTGGTGTTTGCTTTTACTCAAGACCTTTAGTTTAAAACCTTTTTTTTATTATTATTATTTTCCTTTCTCTCCTAATGATGTAGTTTGTCCGAAAAGCAGGCTGCTTCAGATTCTTGAAGAACGCTTTCCGCAGAGGATTCTGACTAACATCCTCAGAGAAGCTTATTAACCAGCAGCTGGGTTACTCTTCGTACACAACAGAAAACTTGATTTTGGAGCGGGGGGAAGAAATGAAGAGCCTGACTACACCTTCTTCTTGCCACCCTCCCTTTCGAATTGTCTGCCCTGCTCTTACTGCTGATTTCGCAGCGCTTCAGCTTTTGGGAAGTGTCTAGCCGCCTGACTGATGAATTGCTTATAATTACTGCTTATAACTTCATTTGATTAGGAGTCCATGAATTCAGTCCCTATTTACCTTTGTAGTTTTGCAAGGTGCTTATCTTGGTGGATGGCTGATTTATATATGGCTACTTCACAGAAACCCTCTGTGCCAGTTGCTTAAACGTTTCGATTGTGCCAAACTGCGATAAAATAATGAAAGATTCCTTCTGCCTGTTGGTGTTCTTGCCTGTATTACAGTCTGAAAGAATTCAGCCGTCAAGACTAGGGGGTTTCGCAGATGTTTTGCAAGTCTCCTTAAGTCTATACCTACAACGAATGGTTCCTGCAGTGTAGTATTTAGATGGCCAAAGCCATTTAGAATAGAAAAACAAAATAACGTCGGCGGAGTTTATCACAACCAAGAAATCCCCGTCTCTGCAGCAGGAGAAATCTGAACATTGTGTGAGGCAGTAAAAATGCCACAGTGGCATTCGTCTTACCCACCAGGCAGTTACCGATAAGATGCAATCGTAACTGTTAAAGGGCAAAATGAGAGACTCTCATCCTTAGTTTTTAATATGCCTTTAACTTAATTTTTGTACTTTTATTTCTTATGACAAGGCACAAAAGGCAGCGCATAATGGATTGGAAACCCTTCGGCGGCGGCACATTGAATCTTTGGCGGTCTTGTATTTATGTCTTTTTCTGAGATTCAGAAAAGACCTGCAGCTACTTCGACAGCCGTGACAATCCCCATATGCGCTGTAGGCAGGGATGGCACCAGTGCCAGAATCCCGTCTCTTTGGCTTTTCTGAAAATCTCAAATTCACCGAATTCAACAAGTTTTAAGTTTGTGGTTGGTTGTTGTTTGTTTTTTTTTTTAACTAGCGATCTCCTGCTTGCGATCCTGTTCCTGAGCTCTGCTTAGCTCTTTCCATGAAGTAATTACCCCTGTTTTTCTCGCTCTCAATTACGTGCTCCTCAAAAATAGCATTGTACTGGAGTACTTTGTAATTTCACTTGGTGTACTGGAGAGCTGGGATTAGCACCGGAAGGTTTAGCCGGCTTTAGCTGTGTTATTGTTAGTTTTGAAAGCGAGGGCATTTAAAGTTAACATGGTAGAGATGTGGGAGAGGAAACCTTTTTGCTGGACCGGTTTAAAAATACTTTAAACAATTTGGACAGGAATCCCTTGGAAGGAGCCGTAACCGCCAAGCGGTGCTGGTTGGAAACGGTTCTTCCTTACATTGCTTTTCTGGGCTTGATAAGAACGATGTGTGTAGGGACCTGGAACCCCCCGGCTGCGATATAAATCACTTCGTTAACGGTTCTGGTGTACTGAAAGCCTGGGAAGTGTTCTGGCTGCTTTATAGAGAGAGACCTAAAAGTCCAAAGGAGACGATGGTCTCCCCCAGTCACCACGCAGGTCTGCAGCAGCGGTAGTCCTTCAACCTGTGTCCAACTCCTGTGCCTTAACCTTTCAGACCATCTTCTTGTGACACTTCCAAAGACGACAGCGTCCTCTCTGCATAGCTCAGGAACGACTGCCTCAATTCTTTTACTAGGAACCATAAAAAAATTCCTATGCCAGTGTATGTAGGGGGGGTGACACTTCCAAAGATGACAGTGTCCTCTCTGCGTAGCTCAGGAGCAACTGCCTCAATTCCTATGCCAGTGTATGTAGGGGGGGCTTCTGCCTCTGAACCCTTCAAATGTTGTTTACGTCTTGATGGTGGTCTTTATTAAGACATCTTTAATCTCTTCTTTGAAGAGTAAGCGCTTTAGAAAGGACCGTCTCCTTGATTTGCGTTTTTACGCTGCTACGCAGAGTGACTGGGATCGCTGGTCACTTCTTTAATGCGACCAGTTAAAGACAGCCAGATGGGTCTTCCTCTAAGTGGGATTCAGACTTCATTTAAGAAATCCGCTTTCCTCCCTCCTCTTCTCCTTCCCGGCCCCATGCTACGTAACATCTGCTCTATAAAATTACAAGATGCTTAATTGTCAGGTATTGTTAAGGGCACAATTGTTGAGAGGTTACTTTCTTCTTTTTATTTTTTTTGGTTTTTGGTTAAAGTAAGACTTCAAAGTGATGGTCTTGCCTGGTCCTGCTGATAACAATGGTGTTTCCATGACTGGTGATGATTTTTGAGGCCCATGGCGCTGTTCTTGGGACTGAGTTGCCTGTCGTAGGGCATGGGCGTCACTGAGGGGGCACTACGCTGGTTGCTTCTGCCCCTGATGCGGGTATTCGGTGTTTTGGTCCTGGACAGGGAAACAAAACCAATGGAAAACCCTTCTTCCACCAGTCGTGGAGGAGCTGGATGCTGAATCATTGTGTCATCCACCTCCGAAAGGCCGTTCTTGATGGTGTATTTCCAAAAATGATCTGGGAGGTGCCACTGTGCCGAGTCAAAGCTGCCACATATGATGCTGCTGAGGTCCCTGAAAACTGACTCGACTTTTTGGCGCGGCGAATGTTTCACTTGGTGAGACTCGGTGGAAAACAGAACCACTGTCAACAAAACCTCTGGAGGTTTTGGCACTGCTGGCTGCTGTTGTGCCTTGTGAGTGATACATCGCTCTTAAATTGACAGGACTTCATTCTTTCGAGCTCACCGCTCCTGCAGTCGCCAGGTGGCAAAATTCTCAAGAAATTAATAAAATATCACAAGTGTGGTGTGTCCAGCTCTGAGCCCCCAATGTCAGAAGGACATGGACTTGTTGGAGTGGGGCCAGAGGAGGGCACGGAGATGCTGGGAGGGCTGGAGAACCTCTGCTGGGAGGACAGGCTGGGAG